TTGCAAAATAATTGTAGATTATTTTATTATTTTAGATAATTTTCATAATTATTGTATACTGAGAACATGCACTAATAAAAATATTTTTTTTAAAAATTAAATAAATAAAAATATTAGAACCTAAATCACAGACTGCTGAACTTCTGCCCACCATCTGACCTAGTTCATTTGAAAAATATTACTCTTTTAGGAATGAAAATAACACTTAAAAGTGATCACATGTCCTAGGTTATAGTTAAAGGTCAGTAGGACCCTGTGCCGCTGCTTCTGGATGCCTGTGGAACACTCAGCTTACCTCCTGCCCCTCTCACACAGCGCAGGCACACTAACTGCCCAGGCGCAGGTGCGCTAATTGCCTAGGCACTGCAGAATCGTTCCACTACCTGCCGCAAGTCACAATTATATAATCTCACCTCACACTCATCTCACAACATGACATCCAAACCCTGACATTTCTGAAGAAACTGCCTTTTTTTTTAAACCGGAAATTAAACTCAGGACCTCATGCTTGCCAGGCAGGCCCCCTGCTGCTGAGCAATAGCCCTAGCCCTAACCCTGATATTCTTAACAATATGAGATATGCAGTATATTTGTGCAAAAAAAAAAAAAATTGTATTTCTTCTTAATTGTTCTAAATACATCCTGTGACCCTGAAATAAGACTTTAGTGATAAGACATTTTAGTGACTTTACATAAATAAGCCATAATTTATGTTGTTAATTTACTACTTTAAGACCAGAGGCTGTTATTTTTGATGTTGTCTTAAAGAGTCTTTATATATAGATTTGTGTACTACTCATTAGACACAAAATAAATTCGAAAAGGAAAATTATTAAATATACAGATAATATATTCCAGGATTTTGATGATATTACTGAACTGTCCTCCAACATTTTTTTTTTTGTTTTGGTCATCTTTGCCAATTTAATCCCTCAAAATGGTATTTTATTCCACTTTGAGATATTTAATTATTTGTGTTTGTGAAAGGACATGGAAGATGTCGCCAAATAATGAACTGCAGCCATGGAGATGAATTTTCTCAGAACACTGCAAAAAGCTCTTACTTTGTTCTCCTTCTTCCTTTTCTCCTCTCTTTTCTTCTTTCCTTCTCCTCCCTCTCTTCTCCTCCTCCTCTCCTTTTTGCTCTCAGCCCTTAGCCTACAGAGTAGAGAGCTATAATGGCCCCTGAAAATTAGTAAGAGAAAAGAAATTTTCAACTGTACTAATTTAAATACATTCCAACAGTAGAACACAACCTAACCCTCATCCTACTTCCCTAGCCTTATTTTTCTAAATTTAAGGGGTTTTTTCTTTTATTTATTTAGTGTGGAGTATTTACAAATTATGCCTTATTTTACCTTTTCCTTTATTCATTTTAATTTCCTAAGTATTTCATGAATAATAAATCATATAACTTTATCTATTTTTCTAGATGTAATCTGTTTTTATCACAAAGACTAAGATAATTACTATCCCATATTGTAATTTCTTTCATAGTAACATATCTATTTCTAGATTACTTGAATTTGAAATCTGGCAAATTAAAGATTTACACTTAGATTTTTTAAGTGTCTTTGAGTACTATAATAACTTCATTAACATTGCTTCATCAAAGCAATTTCAATAGCCACTGGGCATCAAGACTGTTAAAATATCAAGTAACCTGAAATTTCTTCAATATATTCTATTTTTACGATTCTCATGGAGTAGAAGTGGTCACAGAGAGGTTGGTGTGAAAATATGTCTCTTTTTCTCTCCTTCCCAGGAAAGACACCCTTCTACTATCACATCAGCTTTAAAGTCAACAACATTGACTATAACAACAAATTTGCAAAACCATATTCACAAGAATTTATGGACCTAAACAAAAAAATAGTATCTTTGGTAAGTTGACATTCTTTTCTGTGCATTATCCTTTAAACACTATGTTACTATAAGGGCTGGGGTCTCAGCAGCCACCTTCAAAGTTGGAAACATCCTTTTCTGTTACCTCAGCTCTGGATTAGGACAGGCATTCCCTCCAGAAAGTCAGTTATAAAACATACATGGAAAAAAAATACTGAAGAAAGTGATACCTTTCCAGAACACCTACAAAATGTCTGTCATAAGAGATGGTCAATTAATATTTCAAATGCAGTAAATTAAATCATGATTTTAATATTTAGTAGTCAAAAAATGGAGACAGAAAACACCCACCTTTCACTTAGCTTGTTGTTGTTGTTGCTGTTGCTGTTGTTTAAAAAAAAAGAAGCTACAAGAAGCATTATTACACTGATTAAGAAGTAAACTTTGGACTCAAGGCCCTGGTTCAATTCTAAATATAGCCATTTACTTATAGTGTGACCCTAGACCACTGAACTTCCCACACCTGTTTCTTCAACCAAAAATGAGAGATCACAAATGCCTCTATACTAGGATCATTGTAAGTATTAAAATTACTAGGATCATTGTAAGCATTAAAATTAAACACAGGTTGAAGTGCATGATCTAGTAAATCCTGTTGTTCTGTTAGATCTTAAAAACAATATCTAAAATTTAATTGCCCAAAATGAGAGGTCTCAGATATCCTTAACACATTACAATTATATGACAAAGTTAATATATAACTTTAAAACAGCTCCAAATATATCCATACTAAGAAATTTTCCTGTGTGCTATAAATTTAGACCAATTCATTCAAATAAATTAAACTGATTTTATTACATAATGAATATTCTGGTTAATTATCTCATATTCCTGGTCAATAAAACTTGAGTCCCTACAGCTTACTTCAGGCCATTCTCAAAACTCTCATTCTTAGTTTTCAACTTTCCTGCTTAAAAGCAGCACTAGATATTTCTCATACTTTTTTCATTTGTATGTGTCACAGTACCTCTTTTACATGCCTTTCTTCTGTTTTCATTGAATGTAATGATGCTTCATGTATCATAGCTATGGCCACATACACAAATACTCATAAATACATCACTAATGATAATAGCATAAACCAAATGGAGTTGTGAATCAGTAGAGAAGCCTAATAGTAATTGTTACAATTCCTACAGCCTGTTTTACTTATTTTGATTTCCACTATATAATCTTGGGATTATTTGCCCTAAAAAGAGGAAATAAATTGGATCAAAAGAGATGCTACCTTACTATACATGACAGTTTTTTAAACTAAAATAGTCTTTTACAGAAAATATGTCTGTAGTTTTGACATGTGGTTTGCCAGTGTGTGATTGAAAACATCTCTATGGCTTCTTTTTTTTTTTTTTATCACTTCAACGGATGTTGTACTCAGTTAAGGAACAGAAATACTAAAGGGCAAGACTTTAACAATAATAATTAATAACTTTCAGTATGATCTAAGCACTGTACATTTTAATATTTAATCCTCATTGCATCTTCATTTTTCATATGAACAGAAGAGGCATTAGAAGTTGATTTCCCCAATCATACTTGCCTGTATATTCCCACTCGGATACTTTGTCTTCTAATTAATGAGCACACAGATATAAAATCATGAGCACAGTTCACATTACACAAATTACACATGGCTTGTCAAATATTCCAAAATGTTTAACAAAATTCAATATGACTTATGCTATATAAATTGCTTAGCTATAGTTACCCAATACAATGACTACTATATACAGCAAACCTAATATTACCCCTAGAAAGCAGGCTACCCAAGTTCACATATCAAGCCGTGTACTAGAATATCAAGAGGAAATGGCATCTTGGATCAATATACAATCAGGGCATTTGTCAAATAGCAAATTCTTTACTGAGCTGACTCTGCTAGAGTAGACGTCTTTGGAAACCCGTATTACATGACAGATTACCTACAAGATTTATCAGAATTAGAAACATTATTTTAAATAAATGTTAATAGTAAAAAGCATGAAAAAATTAATATCATAAGTTAGCATGATTTTTCAGTTAATAAGCCAAAGCATGGTATCATTTTCATGGTCTTTTTATCAACATCATTCAGAGCCTCCTTCCTCATATTTGCATAGCTGATGGACTGTTGTTTTGTGCATTTTATTTTGAGGGAATGAGAAAGAAGAGTGTAGTGACAAAAAGAAAAGAAGAAAAAAATTAAGTCTACTTGAAATTCAAGAGCAGTATTTGGAGTTGATATGTGTGTCATCTGAATTTTCAATATTCTTATTTTGGAAAAATAAGTAGCTCTAAAATCCCAGGTTAGGACTTTGTCCAACAATCCCAAGTGAACTCCTGAGACTTGGCATTTAGATTACAAATCAAATATCAGACAACTCTTTATCTAGAGAATTTGATAAGAGATGTCACTCTTGGAAAAAAATAGATATTTTATGAATATTATTGGATAAGTTCCCATAACTTTACTTTACAGTGTCTAGGAACAACTGCAGCAAAGAACATTGTTTTCTATAAAAGCTACCAGTCCTGGTATTATTTAGTGCATGTGTTGATCTTTTGTACCATAAAGTTTGGAAGGTGACTACAAGGTAGAAAGTTATAAATAAATTGAGAACATTAGACCAGAACATAATTAGTCTTCAGAGAAGAGAACAACTAACTAAGGCATTACAACCTCAGGAGGATTTTGATTTGGAGACAGTACAATACCAAAACTTCTATATTCTCTTTTTTTATATTCTCTATTCACTTTTATTAAACAATATTAAGTGTTACCCATCTTCATTCAGATTGAAACTTACTTTTTAAAGTAACAACATCATTTAATGGCCCTCCAATTAGTCCCTAACCCAGTCTCTAACCATAGTTTCAGCTCATGCCTTTCCTATTTTCCATTGACATTAAGTCTTAGAGTCAAGTTTGTCTCCTTTTCCTTCACTACAATCACCATATTTCATTCAATATTCCTTGAAAGTAGTTGTCCCTTGACCACTATTGCTTCAAAATAAGTATCTGTCCCTTACTCTCTTCTGATATTTTTGAAATGACAATAAAAATAAATCAAATCACACTGTAATGTGCCTTACAACAAAAATAATGCCATTAATATGCTAAAAGAGTTAGCAGCTCTAGATGATTAAAACTAGAAATCTAATTAAGAGGAAGAATATCATTAATTTGGTAGCAACAAGGTCTTTGGAGACCCCCTAAGAGTAGTTCAATAGGGCGAAGAGAACAGGACCAGAGCTGGGTTGAATTGAATGAGAATAGGAGAGGAAGGGTGTAGGGCAAATGTGTCCAACATCACTCTCACCATTACTTTCTTGCATTCCTGCACACTTTTCTTCTCTTGGCTCTGCAGCCTCTCCCTCTCACATTTTCTTCCTCTGAACCAGCTGTTTCTTCCAGGTGCCTTTGTTTGTGACTCACCCTCTGCAGATCTCTCAGGCCACCGCTGCACCATCCAGAGCCTGATCCTCCACATCGCTTCTCTCCTGTTCTCCTCTTCTTCTTGCTCAGCTCCCTCCATCCTCCCACACCCACTAAGTGAACACCAGCTGCATTGATAACTCCTCAAATAAAACTCTGTCCTCACCCCCAGAATTGTTTCCTTCCAGTTTTAGCAATCCCAGTAAAAACATCGAAATCAATCCATTTGCTCCACCTCAAAACCTAGCAGAGAAATAATCCCCACCAGCAACAGATCTGCCACTTTCTATCGATTCTGCACCAAACATAACTTTCAATCAGTCCACCTCTTTCATTAACTATAGCTGTTATCACCTCTCCTAAACTCCAAAATCACCACCTAACTTGTTCCTTCACTTTCACCCTAAGCTTCCCACAGCAAAGTGGTATTTTTAAAATGAAAATCAAATCACATCATGAACCACCTTAAAATTCTCCAAAGACTTTCAATTTTCTCATATTTACATAGATATAACAAGAAATAGATATAAAACAAAAAGATAAATCACATCAAATAGTACAAAACACATCTTATAAACTCTTTTTGCTTGCCTTTTCCCATTCTGCCTCTCCCTTTACACATATTTTCAGCTTCCTTGTTCAAATAACCTATATTAACAAACATAGTGCACATCTTTCCTTCCTCCTTAACTGTATTAACACAAATACCAAAAAAAAGGATATAGGCATGTTTTTCATTATAAGTTTTTTAAAAATTGTTTTTCATGCTATGCTTCATAAAAATTTCTCTATGTCCATGTAAAGGTATAACAGTCTTATTTTTAGTTTTAAATATTTCTGTGACTTATTTACAGTATATGGAGCATTATAAGGATTTACAGTAGAAGACAAATTTCCCCACCCTTAAAAATCTAATAGAAAAATCAATGATCTCAAAACACTTCTCCTTATGGGTTTAGCTGAAGCTTTTCAGCTTTTTCTGTTTGTAGGTTTTGACTAATATTATCAAAGTTGAAAAAAAAATTCTTCCTAGTACATCGTAACAAATTTGACAGGTATCGAGACCCAGTCCTAGCCCAGGTCCAGTGAGTGTGTGGAGAGGTTCCTGCTACCCTGCGCCGGCAGGACCAGTCCCAGCGCAGGCTCAGCGTGGGCCGGACACTCTCCCGCCCCCTCGGGCCGCCCACCACCCCTCCCGCCGAGGAGGAATTTCTGCCCACTTCCGGGAACCCCCAGACCCAGTCCTAGCCCAGGTCCGGTGAGTGTGTGGAGAGCTTCCTGCTACCCGGCGCCGGCAGGACCAGTCCCAGCCCAGGCGCAGCGTGGGCCGGACCCTCTCCCA